GCAGGGCTTGGGCGCTGTCAGGATTCTTCTTTTGTGTCGGCCCTAAAACCTCGAACCTGTTGTTGCTTGTTTGTCATTGTAGGATCGTTGTTGAAAGAATTATTCGTTTTTTGTTGCTCTTGGAAATGCAATTAGTACTCTGGTATCACAGCGCACACTTCTCAGGATCGCGCTGTCTCCTGGCACGCCCGCTCCAGACCCGTCGCCATCTTGGAATCTTCCGTGTGTGTATAGTTTTCAGAATTTCGTTTGTTATTGATTTCTAATTTTAATACATTGTGGTCTGAAAAAATACATGGGATAATTCTAATTTTTTTGAATTTGCTGAGACTTGATTTGTCACCTAACATGTGATCTGTCCTGGAGAATGATCCATGTGCTGATGAGAAGAATGAATATTCTGAGGTTCTTGGATGGAATGTTCTGTAGATATCTGCCAATTGGTCCTGAGTGTTTTTTAGACCTTCTGTTTCTCTTCTGATTCTTTGCCTAGATGATCTGTCCAATATTGATAGTGGGGTGTCCTCTGCTATTATGGCATTAGTGTCTATTTCCTTCTTTGGGTCTAATAGAGCTTGCTTTATAAATCTGGCTGCTCCGACATTGGGTGCATATATACTTATGATTGTTATGTCTTCTTGATGGATCAATCCTTTTATCATTATGTAGTTGACCTCATTATCTCTTTTTATGGTTTTCAGTTTAAAGCTTATTTTATCAGATATAAGAATAGCAACTCCAGCTTGTTTTTCATTTCTGTTTGCATGGTAAGTCCTTTTCCATCCTTTCACTCTTAGTCTATGTCAGTCTTTATTGGTGAGGTGGGTCTCTTGTAGGCAGCATATAGTTGGGTCCTCCTTTTTAATCAAGTTAGCCAGTCTGTGTCTTTTGATTGGCAAATTTAATCCTTTTCCATTAAGAGTTGTTATTGTAAAATGTTTATTTACTCCTAGCATTTTATTGATTTTTGTTTGGATGTCTTAAGTGTCTTTTGTTCTTTTCTTTCTGATTTACTCTTTGTCTTCTGTATCTGTTGGTTTCTAGGGTTGTAGGCAAACTTTTTGTTTTCTCTTCATTGTTGGCACTTTTTTTTCAGTCATGGGTTTTGTTTTTTCTTGAGTTTTTATGGCAGTGGTAGTTATTTTTCAGGTACCAAACCCAGTACTCCCTTGAGAATTTCCTGTAAGGGTGGTCATGTGGTAGTGAACTCCCACCGTTTTGGTTTGTCTGAGAAATATGCTATTTGCCCTTCATTTTGGAAGGATAGCCTTGCAGGGTAGAGTCTTCTTGGCTGGCAATCTCTGTCTTTTAGTATTTTGAATATATTATCCCATTCCTTTCTGGCTTTTAGGGTTTGTGATGAAAATTCTGATGTTAGTCTGATTGGGGCTCCCTTATAGGTGATTTGACACTTCTCTCTTGCAGCTTTTAAGATTCTCTCTTTGTCTTTGAATTTTGCTAATTTGGCTGTAACATGTCTTGGAGAAGACCTTTTTGGGTTGAATACATTTGGGGATCTTTGAGCTTCCTGAATCTGAAATTCTGTGTCTTTTCCTATATCTGGGAAGTTTTCTGCCACTATTTTGTTGAATATGTTTTCAATGCAATCTTCTTTTTTCTCCCCTTCTGGAATACCCATTACTCAGATATTTGAGCACTGAAGGTTGTCTGATATCTCTCTTAGATTTTCTTCAATGTTTTTAATTCTTTTTACTTTCTTTTTTTTTTTTTTTTGGTCTGCCTGTGTTATTTCAAACAGCCCATCTTCAAGGTCCGAAGTTCTCTCTTCTGCTTGTTCTAGCCTGCTGCTTAAACTCTCTGTTGTACTTTTATTTCATTGAATGAATTCTTCAGCTTCACAAGCTCTGCTACATTCTTTTTCAGGGCATTGATTACCTTGTACACTTCTTCTTTCAGGTCCTATATACTTTTCCTCATTTCATCATGTTGTCTAGCTGAGTTTTCTTGCATCTCATTTAGTTTCCTTAGCATTATCATTCAAAATTCCTTGTCAGAGATTTCAAGGACTTCTTGTTCTATAGGATCTAGAGCTTGCGCGTTATTACCCTTGGGTGGTGTACTTTCTTGATCTTTCATATTTCTGGTACCTTTCCTTTGATGTTTAGTCATTGTGGCAGGGGATTTCATGGTCCACTGGTTTGACACTATTGTCTGGCTAGGATGCTGCTGAGGCTGCCAATTTGGCACGGCTGCCTCAGCGTCTGCTCAGTCACCCACTGGTGCCTTTGGTGCATGGTCACCTCAGGTCTTGGGCCTCTCTGGGGGGGCGCCTCTCTGGTCAGTGCACACTCGGCCAGGATAGGGATGGCATTGGGTGGGGCCAAGGCCTACCTGCTGAGTCACATGCTGGCACTACGGAGTGCGTAGTCTCACACATCCTGGGCTTCTCTGGCAGGGCACCTCTCTGATTGGCGTGCACTCAGACAGGCTGGGTATGGAGTCGGGTTGCAGCAGTGAGGCCTACCTGCTGGGTTGCGTGCTGGCACCACAGGGTGCATGGTCTCCACGAATGTTGGAACTCTCTGGCGGGGCACCTGTCTGATCAGCGTGCATTTGGCCGGGCTGGGGATCACTTTGTGGGAAATATCTTAAAGTATCATATAAAAACTATTCATGTCATAAAATAATTATTGTCTAATGGGCAGGTTTTATTGTAGTAATTTATTAAGGAAACCCAAATGCTCTAGATATAATGTTTGTGGTCAGAAAATAGTTGAAAAGCTAACATTTTAATTAATTGGTGATTATTAAAATTAACTAAGGATGTGCAATTAGTCAAATTCCTAAAATTAAAGGTTTCCTGGAAATGCTAAAGCTTTGGATTCAGTTTGATCTGGGTCAAATCCCAGCTCTGATGTTTCTTAGAAGTACAATATTGCCCCATTGCTGGGAAGAGTGAATGAATAGGAAGAAAATGTGAGAAACAAAACAGTACTCAAGGGCTTCCTGGAAGGTGGTGACATGATCCTCAGAAAAAGCAACACAGGTAGGCAGTCTTATAAAGTACCTCATTAGGATGGATTGTGATATTTTGGTTTTAGAGAATATACATACCTAATAGCCAAGTTTTATTTTTCATGTCATATTTAATCCTTGTCAGCTATTAACGCCTGGTAATAACTGCTCTTTGTGGAAATAGCACAGTGTCTGATTCCATCCTTGGGCCACAGTGCTGAAAGGCAGAGGGATGCCCTGAAGCAATGTAGTAGGGGCAGTAGTTAGAGACATTGCCAAGAGCAATGCAAGTCTTTGGAGAAAGGAATAATGGCAAAGAGGTCAGCTCTTTCGCCAAGTGGTATTCTCCCTTCTCTGCCCAGCTTGGAGGATGTGCAGTAGATTTTATGTTATTAATGGAGCTGGTAGGTGGCATCAGAAGGCATTTGGGAACTGAAATATCTATGCCTAAACTACAGAACTCCAATAAGGATTATGAAAACATAAGGAAAGAATTCTGCTGCTCTCTGAGAAAGACCATCATAACGTCCCATTTGTCAGTATTCTGGGAAGGCATAAAATGGGTGGGACATGAGTCATCAGAGGGATATTGAAACAGAAATTTAGGAAAGGAAAAAAAGCAGAGGCTGTTCACACTGATACATAGGAGGGATACAAACTCAAGGATTTCAGTTTATTATCATAAAAGGGAAACAAAGCAGAAATTCTGAAGGAGCATGGGACTCAGAAAACTTCATGGTAACTGTGGGATACTGCCCCCAGGTCATCGAAACAATTGAGTATCCCAAACATACTCTAATATGTGAGGGAGATTGAGAAACTATGTTACTGGCTGCCTAGGGCTATGGGTACAGGGAGATGGGGGTGACAGCTGAGGGGCATGGGATTTCTTTGTGGGGTAATAAAATTGTTCTATAATTGATTGTGGTGGTAGATGCACCACTCTCTAAATATCCTAAAACATCATTGAATTATATACTTTAAATGAGCAAATTGTATGGTATGTGAATTGAATCTCAATAAAGCTATTTTTTTCGGGGCCGGCCTGGTGGCACACTGCTACAGTGCGCCACTCGGGAAGCGCAGCGGCGCTCCCGCCAAGGGTTCAGATCCCATATACAGACCAGCCACTCACTGGCTGAGCGAGGTGTGGGAGCAACACCATGGGTTGCAATCCCGTTGCCGGTCCCGGTCCAGTACAGGCGTGACACTGAGGGTTGCGATCCGTTGCCGGTCACGAAAAAAAAGACAAAAAGGAAAAAAAATAAAATAAAATAAAAAATAAAGCTATTTTTTCAAAAAAAAAAAAAAGGAAAAAAGGCAGTATTTGAAGGGAAAAATGGTTGCAAAGAATGGAAGTGGTACAGGTAAGCCACTGAGGGTATCATACTATGCAGGTTTGAGAACAATTTGCTGATATGCTGTCTTGACAGTTGGAAAAATAATTTTTTTTTTTTTTAAAGATGACCGGTAAGGGGATCTTAACCCTTGACTTGGTGTTGTCAGCACCACGCTCAGCCAGTGAGCGAACCGGCCATCCCTATATGGGATCCGAACCCGGGGCCTTGGTGTTATCAGCACCGCACTCTACCGAGTGAGCCACGGGCCAGCCCAGAAATAAATTTTTATACATATTTTTTCTATCAACACTTGTAGATCCCCTACTCTACACCAGGGATTGGGAATGCCATGGTGGCTACCCTAATGAACTGTGAGATCTCCGTGGTACATTCTGTCTACTTTAAAATTGGTCCTATAACTGGGCTGGAAATGAAACTTCATACAGATATTTTCCATAAACTACGTTTTACGACCATAGTGAAGCAGAGTCCAGGGAAATGAAGTATGATGTAATCACTTCTACACCAGTGTTACTGATGATCAACTGAAAGTAAAAAAATGTGCTTCTGACCTGCTTGGCTTTTCTATATGTATCATATTGAAATATTATTTTCATATTGTATTCCTCACGTTCAAAGTTCATGATTTATTAAAACAGGCTGATTATAAATCTGAAAACAGTGATGAAAAATCATTCTACAATAACAATATTCGTCCTTCTAGGATTAACAGATGACCCACAACTACAGATTTTTCTATCAGCATTTCTGTTTCTCACCTACTTTCTCACTGTTGCTGGAAATCTAATCATTATCCTCCTCACGCTAGTGGACTCTCACCTTAAAACACCCATGTACTTTTTCCTTCGGAATTTCTCCATCTTAGAAATAGTATTTACAACTGTGTGTGTTTCTAGATTTCTATACAGCATGACAACTGGAGACAAAAGTGTTACTTATAATGCCTGTACTATCCAATTATTTTTTATCATCCTCATTGGGGCAACAGAATTTTCTCTTCTGACGGCTATGTCCTATGACCGCTACGTGGCCATCTGCAAGCCGCTGCACTACACCACCATTATGAATGAAAGGGTATGCATCATTCTTGTCTTTTGCTGTTGGCTGATTGGGTTAATTGTCATACTTCCACCACTTAGCCTGGCAATTCAGCTAGAATTCTGTAATTCCAATCTCATTGACCATTTTGGCTGTGATGCATCTCCTCTTCTCAAGATTGTATGCTCAGACACTCAATTTATAGAACAACTTGTTTTAATCATGGCAGTGTTGACCCTCATATTCACATTAGTCTGTGTAATTGTGTCCTACACGTACATCATTAAGACTATTTTAAGACTCCCGTCTGCTCAGCAAAGAAAAAAGGCTTTTTCCACCTGTTCTTCACACATGATTGTAGTTTCCATCACCTATGGAAGCTGCATCTTCATCTATATTAAACCAGCAAAAGAAGGAGTGGCCATTAATAAGGTGGTGTCATTGCTCAACACCTCAGTTATCCCTTTGATGAACCCTTTCATTTATACTCTACGGAATAGGCAAGTCAAACAAGCCTTGAAGGATTCGATTAAAAAGATTGCTTTTCTTTCAAAAAATTAGGCTACTAAAAAGATTTTTTAATTAAGAATATATACATATCAATATTTCTTCTTTTACTATGCATTCTAATTCAAATCTACAGGATGGTCTGATTAACCCCTCAAAAGCTACCACATATCAAAATTTACATTTCACACCTTCATGCTCATGAAAAATCACTCTCCATTATATTTTCCCAATTTGAAAAAAAAAATCATTCTGCATTATGTAGTGTCCACATCCAAAGCTTTAGTGACCAACTTTAACTTCAGTATTCCCAGATATATTGACTCATCAGTATATCTCCCTGCTGTCTCTTAATTATGAACTTCTGAGTAATGTCTTGCCTGTACCACTCTGATCTAAATATCATGGGCTTTGATATATGAAATACTTTTTATCACCATAAAGAACAAACAGACCAAGGAGTGCTGGAAATCACCACAGGCATATTTTAAATTTAGAGATCAGTAGACAAAGTTGTGGAATTACAAAGGAAAAACATCAGCATTCGTCTTATTATGCCAGATATAATTTCAGATTATTTCACAACTCTCATACTTCCTCATGAATGAGAAGTTTTAGAGTTGGAAAACAAAATGAAAGAAAATATTTTTTAAATTGCACTATGGAAAAGAAACTTACAGGTTCATTTTCACTTTAGTTAGTGTCAATTTTGAAGGTTAACTCATTAATATAAACTATACTCAATCATACTTTCATTAATTCATTCAGCAAATATTTATTGAAGAATTACAGCTTTAAAAAAGTGGATATATCTACAGAAGCAGAAGTCTGGATAGAGCCACAGTGAGAGAATCAGAGAAAGAGACACTAACCAGCCTGTTTGCAGCACTGGCTCTATCCCTGCCACTATGGCCACTTTATTCATCATCCCATTGGGAAAAGACAGGGATAGAAGGAGAAAGAGGCTAACTGATGACCCACAGAATGGATAATTTGATCCACCTAATTTTCAACTTCTTTCTTTGCTGAATTTGCTCTTTAGTGAATATGTACATGGGACAAAAATATATTCACAATGCTATGTTCGTTTTGAAGGATCTAACACATGCCTCAGTTATCAATTGCATTTCTTGCAGGTTCTGAATATACAAAACCTACTAGCTATTTGTATTAGTCCATTTCTGTTGCTTATAACAAAATATTCAGAACTGGGTAATTTGGAAAAAAACAAAATTTATTGCATATAGTTTTGGAGGCTGGGAAGTCCAAAGTCCAGGGAACACATCTGAGGAGGGTCTTCTTTGGTGGTGACATTACAGCAATGCAGGGATCTCACATGGCAGAAAATGATGGAGCAGAGAAAGAGAGACTCTCATGTGCTCTCCTTTTAAAGCCCTTGGAACCACACCTCCAATCACCATTATTAATCTATTCACTACAGCATTGTCCTACAATCTAATCATCTCTTCAAGGCCCCACCTTTCAGTTACCATAATAGGATTTCCCACCCTCTTTACATTGTCACAGTGGGGACTAAGTTTTGGGGATACATCAATCCACAGCATTCGACACCTGGCCCCTCAAATCAAATGCCCTTTTCACATACAAATACATTCGTATTGTCCCCAATGTCTTAACTTGTTCCATCTCAAAAGTTCAAAGTTCAAATTCCCATCTGTGAAATCAAAATAAGTTATCTACTTCCAAGATAAAATGGTGGGACAAGCATAGGTTTGGGGCCTGTGAGGACTGGTAGACTCTTGTAGCAGGGATTGCTGGCATTTGTGGTGGCAATGGAAAAAGCTGGGGTTTTTCCTGCTTACCTCTCTCTGCCTGACTCCAAGCTGGTCCCTGTGGGGAGACAGCAAGACACAGGCTGGATGCCTCGCTCTGCTCTCTGTGGTGCTATCCCAGTCTTCCATGCTCTACAAGGATTTCATCACTCCCCTGGTGCTCTGCAATGTATTTCTTCTGTCAGTCTGGTCAAATATATACTTGTTTGTTTATTATTTTATCTATTTTTCTGTGAGAAACAAGCATCAGACAACTCTAGTTGGCATCTTGGTCCACTCTCCTCTCCCTTTTTAAGTGTTTTTAAGTAAACAGTTCAGTGACATTAAGTAGGTTCACATTGAAACTGTGCCCTGATGAAAAATGTAGGGAAACTGGACATGGGTGTTTATAGTATGCTTTTCACAGTATTATTCTTTTACCTGTTGGATGACCTAATGTCTAGTTATCTGACCGATGACCAGGGGGTCCCTCAAACAGGAAACTTGTTTGTACTAGCAGATGCCTTTGTGTCTCTTATATAGCCTGTGTCCCGTTTATGCCTGCCTGACCATTGCTCTGGTGTTGGGAGTTCAACCCTGTGCTCTCACCAGCATCCCAGGGAAAACTCAGCCTGGAGCAGCCCCTAGCTCTTTAGGTGGAAGGTGCATATCCAATACACCACCACAACAGAAAATAAATTCAAAGATTTTTACTATAGATCCTGAGCAAGTAGGGCACAATGAGTCAGGAGAACAGTCCTCCATCGCCCGGTCACTCAAGGTAGAAATAAAGACTTAGGAAGAGAGAGAAAGCATGTGGCACCTAGCAGTATATATATATATATATATATTAGGGTGAATCACTTTAAGTTTGTGGGCAAATGCTTGAATAAACTGTTTAAAGGAAGAGGCAGAAAAGCAGACAGCCCAGTCTGCTAGGTGAGAGAGTGACCTCTAACTTATTATCTCTTGCCACTGGCTTGAGCCATCTGGGTGTAGCGTAGAACTAGAAATTTTCAAGGATGATTGAGCCCTGCTACTGGTATAAGAAAATTAAACTTGTATTAAAAATTGATGCTTAAGTAATGTAAAACTATAAAAACTAACTACATCACCATTCTACTTTCTGTCTCTATGAATGTGACTATTCTGGGTACCTCATGTAAGTGAAATTATACAATAGTTGTCATTTTGTTTCCCGTTTGTATCACTTAGCACAATGTCTTCATGGTTCACGCATGTTGTAATGTGTTAGAATTCCACTCCTTTCTAAGACTGAATACTAGTACATAGTATGTATATACTACATTTTGTTTATCCATTTTCTTGTTAATGGACATTTAAGTTGTGTGCACCTTTAGTCTACAGTGTATAATGCTGTTATGTATATTTGTACACAAATATCAGCTTGAGTCTTGGCTTTTATTAATTTTTATAGTTTTATTTTAAATTGACAAATAATTGTGTATATATATATATATATATATGACAAGGTGACATTTTGATACATGTATACTTGTACATTGTGGAATGATCAAATCAGGCTGATTAACATACATACCACCACAAATATTCATCATTTTTTGTGGTATAGTCATTTAAAATCCTCACTTTTAGTTATTTGAAATATACAATACAATATTATTAACTATAACTACCTTTCAATTCTTTTGGGCATAAACCCAGAAGTGGAATTGCTGAATCATATGGTAATTCTATGTTTGATTTTTTTGAGGAACTGTGATACTGGTTTTCATAGTGGCTACACCATTTTACATTCCCACCAGGAGTGCACAAGTATTCTAATTTCTCCACTATTTTTATAACATATGTACAAGTGAAACCTATGAGAACAACAGTACAAAGGTCAGGAGGAGAGGGATAAAAGTCATACATATATGATGCTTAATCATATATGGAGTGAAAATTTACAAGCTATTAGCAAGGCTAACTAAAAAAGAAGAGAAGACCCAAATAACAAAAATTAGAAATGAAGGTGATATTACAACTGATACATCTGAAATGAAAGGATTCTTTAGAGCCTACTATAAACAACTATACGCCAACAAATTTGAAAATCTGGAGGAAATGGATAAATTTCTGTACACACACAAACTACCAAAACTGAGCGAAGATGATGTAGAAATCTGAACAGACCAATAACAATAAAAGAGATTGAAGCTATTATCAGAAGGCTCCCAACAAAGAAAAGCCCAGGACTGGATGGCTTCACTGAAAGATTCTACCAAACCTTCAAAGGAGAATTGTTACCAATTCTCAACAAACTATTCCAAGAGATTGAAACAGAGACCATTCTCCCAAACTCATTCTATGAGGCAAACATCACCCTGATACCAAAACCAAAGATACAACAAAAAAAGAAAACTACAGGCCAATATCCTTGATGAATATTGATGCAAAAATCCTCACTAAAATACTAGCAAACAGAATACAGCAACACATTCAGAAAATTATACACCAAGATCAAGTGGGATTCATCCCAGGGACGCAAGGTTGGTTCAACATATACAAATCAATAAATGTGATACACCATATCAATAAACTCAAAGACAAAAACCACACAATCATCTCTACAGATGCTGAAAAGGCATTTGGCAAAATTCAACATTCATTCATGATAAAGACTCTCTACAAGTTAGGTGTAGACAGAAAGTATCTCAACACAATTAAATCCATATATGATAAGCCCACTGCCAATATCATCCTGATATTGATATAAGAACAGGAACTAGACAAGGATGCTCACTCTCACCACTCCTATTCAACTTAGTGTCAGAAGTACTCGCCAGAGCAATCAGAGAAGAGTAGGTAATAATGGGCATGAGGGGTGACAATCAGCTTTGTACCTCATGAATATTCATAATTAATGAAAAAAAATTTTTTTGCAAAAAACAGCCATAAAAAATAGGATATTACATTGGTCATAAAAACCTCCCATAAAAGAAAATTGCAAGACCAGATAGAGTCATGTATGAATACTACCAAACATTCAAAGAAGAAATGACACAAATCTTTCTCATATTTTCCCAAAAATTAAAGAGGAGAAAACAATTACAAACATAATGTGAAGCCTTGATACATAACCCAGATAAAGATGTTCCAAGAAAAGAAAATTAAAGGCTAATATCCCTGATAAATATATATACAAAAATTATTTATACTTGTGAACCAAATTTAATAGCACATTAAAATATATATACATCAAGATCAAGGGGGGTTTATCCATTATATGCAAGTATGGTTTAACATATGCAAATCAGT